ATATCATGAAAATAATGATCATTTTCTTTTTGATCTTTGAAAAAAGAATTTTTTATCGCGAGTTGATAACCATTTCGACTACCACTACTACTATTTTCATTATCAGATGTTCGATTTGAATAATCTGTTGTCTTAAAACAAAAAAAAAAAAGAACTATTATTACTATTTTCAACAGTAAAATTTTTAAAAATTATTTACTCGATCTGTTAATACATTTGATTTACTTAAAAATTTTGTTTTTCCTTCAATTTGTACTTTTTGTTCAACAATATAATTTTTAATATCATCAACTGTATCTTGAAGTGATTTCTATGAAATATGAAAAAATAAAATTAAAATTTCTTTTTATTTTTTGTTTTATATTAATAACATACAAGTGCATTTCGAGTTGGTAATCTTTGAACAATTGATTCTCGATCATATGGCAATGACGTCATATGTCTTTAAGAAACAAATAGAAAAAAAAAACAAATTTTTAATCTCTAAAATAACAATCCTTTTATTTTTACGAAATTTTAGCATAGACATTAGATGGACTATCCATTGCCATGAGCAATTTTTTAATACAATCATTTATTGAACGAACACAAGTTTTTTCCGATGTTTCCAAATTTAGAAATAATTCATGTTGACGTAAAGTTGCATCAGCATTTTCAGTTGAGACATGATCTAATGCATCTTCTAATTCACGAATATGTTCTTGTACGCGAGCCAATTCAGCATTTTTTTCCTAAATGAAATCCATTATTATCATTTTAATGGAGAAAATCTTATAACTTTTATAGTCAACAATATTTAAAAATTACATTATCTTTAATCATCTTAGGTTTTCTTTTAAATAAGATTGAAATATTTATTTTCATAGAATGTTTTTCAATATGTAGATGAATAAGAGTTGTCTGAATAAAGTATGCAACGGTGATTAATGGTGTTAGATTAATCAAATCTCTTGAACTACACTGATACAACTAAATATTAATAAATCTCAGTCATAAACATTAATTCTCTTTCAATATACGTCAATCCATCAAGAATGACTTTGTGTTTGACAGGTCAGTTAAATGAGGTATATTTAATGAAATTTTTCAAGATTAATTATTAGAGTGTTTAGATAGAATCTACCCAATCTCTGCTTTTATTAAGAAACGTATAGTTCTTTCCTTAACATGATGGCTAAAACCTTGTCCTGAACAATTAAATATAGTATATCTTATAGATGAATAATGTGATGTTTTATTTAGTATGTTCAGCATACAAATATTTTTAATGACAGAACTTCCTCATTCTCTTTCAGTACTGAATAAAAGATTACAAACGGTAAACTTATGCACAGAGGATAAAATAGATGTTGATTCAAATCTTGATATCAACAGGTATTTTTTTTTCTATTGTCAAAATAAAAATTCAATGAATTGATTGAATTATTAGTCGAACAATCCAGTTCGTTACAATTCATACAATATTTCAAAGGTATCTATTTACATATGAGTGAAAGTGTCTTGATTATTTTGTTTGATTTCAAGAGCTGTCTCAATAATTTACCTTTTTAATGATATGAAAACAAAGTTTTCTTTGAAAATACATTTTAATTAATGAAAATAAACCGATCACAATAATTTATACTAACATAATTAAGAATCTACGACATTTCATTGCACTATGTTACTGATGTGCGTTTACGTTTAATAAATAGCATATGCATTAGTGATGATTCTGTCATTTCTTATTAAATCATAGTATAATGAATGATTATTCATGGAAGAATAGTTAATAATGTCATAAGAGTGTCAGATTTCAATTTGTTTCTCATTCATTTATTCGATATTACCTAAGATTTTAAAATAGAAAAATTTAACAATCTAAAAACGAGAATAGTTCTGTACCACCATACATTTAATTTCTAGAACTTTTATTTGTCATTCATAGAATATAAGGTATATCATTTTTCCTATAATGAACTTTCATTATTTATATAAAGGAAAAAAAAACATATGTATGAAATAATATTGAGTAAATCGAAAGTCTATTAACCTTTCAAATAATATAAGACGAAGAGAAGAAAGAAAAAAAAATTATTAAAACATTGAATCCATGTTAAGATTACTTTTCATATGCAAAAAAAAATGTAAAATCTACAAATTTTTCTTTGGCTACGTACTGATTGAAATTGATTACGTAGTCGAGTAATTTCATCTTGAAATTCTTTTCGACATTGTTCTTTTGTGCCGTAGACAGCATTGATACGTTCACGGCCACTGTCTTTTAGCATTAATTGGGCTTCACTCGATGCCTACAATGAAAAGGACATGAAGTAGAAGAAGAAGAAAAAAGAATCGAGAATACTAAACAAGAAACAAATCATCTCAAATAAATAGAACTTCATTAAAAAAAGAAACTCTTCTTTTCTCTCAACGCATTTATTCTTATGAAGTATTAATTTTAAAAAAAGGAAACTAATTTAGTTTTAAATTTTTTATCTATGAAGAAAAAAAAATCAAAGAATTCTATGACGAACCATCTGTGCATCATATAATTTTTGTTCTAAACGTTGACAACGTTCTTGTTCAAGTTTTAATTGATCTTGAAAGTCTTTAACTAAACGAGATTTTTCTTCTTCAAATTTTGTTCGTTCACCGGCTAATAAAAGTTCTTTATGTTCATTCCAAACTTTTCGTTCACGTTCCATTTGTTCTTCCATCTATATATAGACGACACAAAAAAAAACATTGTCTTTTGTTTTCATTTTTATTTAAATTGAAATAACAAACCTGTGTTAGACTATTTTTGTTAGTTAATTTAAGTGCAATAAGTTCATTATCCTTTTCAAAAATTAATGCTTTCAATTTGGCCACTTCTCGATTTTTAATCTATATACATACATAGATAGAATTATTATTTTCACAATAAAAATATCTAAACATATCTTACAAGTAAATTCCCATTTGAACGTTGAGTAGTATTACGAACAAACTTAAATAAGAAAAAAAAAAAAACCATGAATTAATAATTAATTTTAAATTAAAATGATATATTTAACTAATTGTTCAGTTGAAATAGATGTTGAACGTGATAGATCATATTGTTGATTGGAATGAATGATTTCATTTCTAAATAATTATTCTTATGAATATTTAAAAATTCTTATATATACAAAAAGAAAACAACAAGAAACAAAATAAACAACTAAGATTATTGATATATTCTACTTGATTAAATCATAGTTAATTATATTATATACCTAAGTTTACCAATCGTATCATTTTTTTGTTTAAGTTCATTTTCTAATATTTGACATCTGTCTTCAAATGTTTGCCGTTCATGTTGTTGTTGATGAGGACAAGAACGTCGATCATTCATATTTTACTATATTATATTATATTTATATTCGCTTCAGTACTTTTCCTTAAAATCAACATCGAAGAATCGAAGAAGTATTGTATGTATCAATAAAGAAAAGAAAGTATGAATTGAAGTGAAAGTATACACGATGAACAAAGAAGAAATCGATATGACGATGGTGATGGTAATCAAATATTTGAAAACGTGCGGTTGTCGAAATAAATTTCAGTTGATTCTTTCAATAGAATACAACCGCAACTTTATCGACATGTATATCCTTGCTCTCTCTTTCTCTCTCCCTTCTCACTTCTCTCTATACATTTCCTCTGTTCTTGGCGACCAGACTTTCTCTCATTCTCTTCATCCTTCTTTTACATTCATTTACCCTTTTTTTGTGCTTTTTAGAGTGCTACTATGCTTTCACTTTTAAATAGACTTGCTTTATACTCCAAAAAAAAAGAAGAAATCCATGTTCTTCTATGTTGCAAAGCAATAGTAGTCTAGAATGAAGTAAGGTCGGACACTTATCTCTTACATCATGTCCAATAATGTCACTCCAGAGAAAAATACACAAGAGTGGACATAATCAATATGACAAATACACAAGAGGTGAGATGTGTTGAAATCCCAAGACGCGTAAAAAAATCAGCGGAAACGAAACATAATCTAAGTACATATTAGCTGTAATTTAATCAAAATATGTCAGATCGGGTTTTTCTTTGCCTAAGCAAGTTCTCACTGGAAATCATGAAATACTAATAACCAAATTCTTCATTGTATCTCATCATGCTATTAAATATAGATTCATTTTTTTCTTAGATTATTATTATTATTATTATTATTATTCGTATTATGAGTTTCTGCTGTTTTGTTTCTTTTTCCAGAACACATACGCGCAATTAAATTCCGAAAGAAATGACAAAAAAAAATTGAAGGCAAATGAATAAAAAACAAACGATACAAATATTATTATCGGACGCGTATATATGAAAAATCTACACATTCAAACAGTGGAATTCATCACCGTCAGATGAGAGCGCGCGCGAGAGAGAGAGAGCGAGCAAGAAAATAAATAAAATAAGAAAAATAATAGTTAATCACGAGAAAAAAAAACCTATTTAAATGTAACTCGTTGACCAACTACTGTCGGTGCCATTGTAATTGTTAAATCTGATAATGTTCGTCCATGAGCATAATCGATATCATCCATACTACCATGATGAATACTCATTCCACCAAGATGTGGATGTTCATTATGACTACCAGTACTATCTTCAGGCGTTTTTGTTGCTTCATGTTCATGTTTATCTCCACCAATCGATACACTCACTGGTCCACCAACACTTGTAGTTGTTACAGTTGCACCAGCATGACGTTGAAATGGTTGTATAGAAAATCGACGATTTTTTCGTCTTTGTCCATGTCGTTTAGTTAAATGTGGATTATCTTTACGCATTGTTTTCGTTTTTAATACATGTAATGATGTATACAAACGTTTCAATTCCGCCTTTAAACAACAAAAAAAAAATAATAATAATTTGTTTTTTTTTTTAATTTCATTTGGTACTTCAAAATACTAAACTTACTCGAATTTCTTCTGGATCCATATCTCGTAAATTTAATTCACCAAATTCTATATCACCATTTAAATGTAACTTAGTAACAAGATCTGCAGGTTCAACACCATCAGGTACAGAACGAAAACGATCACGTCCTGAATGATCTTCATGAAATGGTCGAAATATATAACATAACTAAAATAAACAAATCATTAAATATAAATAATTAATTTAAAATAAATATTTTTTAATTTACTTTTGTACAAAAAATAAGTATAAGCATAAATGTTACTGTTGCATGACATCGAAATACAGATAAAATAAAAAGTGTATCAGGATCAACTGTTGACCATAAACAATCTCTATCAAAGTAAAAAGACAAAAAAAAAAAGGTCTTTAAATGATATTTTACTTTCTTAAACATACTTAATAACATGAAGTAATGTTGAAAAAATCATTTCACATACAATAGCAATTGTTATTAATTTTCTTTCATGATATTCACATGGAGCCGTTCTTGTACTATAGATAAAACGAATACCAATACAAAGAAAAATAAATTCCGCTAAAGGAAAACAAAAGAAAATGAATTTTTAAATTATTAATTTTCTTTGTCAAACAAACCAAATTGAACAAGATAATCCCATGAACGTGGTCGACATGTTTGAAAATAAGATCGTTCTTTTCTTGTAAAGCCACTTCCTAATAAATATTTTCTAAGTGATATGTTTTCATTTAAATGATCTATATTAACTAATGTCCAACCAAGTAAATAACCAATTATTGATATTGAAATAAAGAATAATATACGTAAAATATCTTTTTCTTTAACTTGTACACAATGAGCTTTACGAGATTGAAATTCAGCTAACATTCTTTAATAGACAACAAAAAAATAGCAGATTTTTTTTAATGCATTATTTTCAAATAAAACTTACTTATAAATCCGTAATATTAATGTTCCATAGACAATTGTAAAACCAAGTTCACGTAACCATGGCATTATTAAACAAACGATCCCATGTGGTCCAAAACTATCCGCAATAACCTAAAAAATACAAAAAATTCAATTTTTTTTTCATAATCTTATTGTTTTTCTTTTTTACTTACCGATGCATAAAGTAATACGGCACCAAAAAGTACAAGTTCAAGTAAAATCCACATTGAATGTTTAATAATTTTTATTTTACGTCTTTGAAATACAATAGCAGCAAGAATAGCAACAAAAACAATGAATATTGATTGTATTATTATTATTATTGTTCGTAAAAAACGATTATATTTTAAACGACATGATTCAAGATTACATTCACATGTATTTATCATGGATTTTAATGAATCTTCATTCGTTTCATTCCATTCTAATTGATTACCATTAATTGTTAAATTTTTATCATCAGATGAATCTGAACAATGACATTCATAAGCACCTAAAGTAAAACCTTGACCAGCTTGATGAATACACTAATCAGAGAACAAAAGAAACAAGTGTAAAATAGAAAAATATTAGAAACAAAAACAAATTGTTTACTTCCATTCCAGCAGGACATTTATGTGTACCACCAAATGGTACATCATTATTGGCACATTGATTTATATCGACAGTTGATATATTAAAATAAGTAACAAGAAAATAGCTACAAAAAGACAAAGTATGTGCTATCATTAGATTGTTTTGTTTTCTTTACCTATTTGTTAATGGAAAAATATGTGCCATGATAAAAGTTTCATTTTTATTTTTCTCACATAAAACAGGTCCAATCCACCAACCATCGTTAATTAATGAATAATTACTGTTCATTGTTTGTTTTAATGTTTCACGTGCATTTGATGGTGTAAATGTTTGTAATATAATATTTACATTTTGTTTTAATTTAACATCATGTATTGAATCATAATCGAATTGATTCATTGTTGTTGTTGTTGTTGTTGTATGATTACTAACACGAAAATATTTTAATGTATCATAATAAACATATGATCCAGGACTATTATTATTATTATTATTGGATATAGGTGTTGCTATCATTAAATTGATTTCTTTTATTGATAATTGACTAGCAAGTAATAAGCGTATAGAAATACTAAATTCATCACGAAATTTTGCTAAGGCAAAATCACCTAAATAATTTGATGATTGATTTATTTTATCACGTATTTTATTTGTTGTTTGTTTTAATGCATTAAATTCTTTTTGAAAAGATTTTTCAACTAAACGAATTATTTCAGACGATAAAGAATTTTCTAATGGTAAATGATATATTCCATCTAATGCCATATTTATTGTACAATCAGCTAATACTGATGAACTTGTTCGATGTGATAATATTCGACGTAGCATGTTTGTATAGTGTTGTTTATCATTATTATGTGTATTTGTTGATGATATTTGTCTTTTTAAACGATGATTTAAATATAAATTTGTATTTTTTTGTGCAGGAAATAAAATACAAAAAGTAAGAAGTAATAAAAGAAATATTAATGAAAAGATAATTATATATGAACGAATATGTATGTTGTTAAATAGTGATTGTTTTGATGTAGAAAATGTTAACATATTGTTATTATTTCGAAGCTGGATATAAGATGATGATGAAGACGACAACGACGACGCTGATGATGATGATGATGATGATGATGATGATGATGATGATATATGATCATAGTCATCGCGTGAATGATAATGTTGTTTTTCGAATTTTTTCTGTCTCATGATTAGGATCACAATAATAATATTTTCAAGCTACGAGAATGACAAAAAAAAAGAAAGAAGAGAACTAGATAATTTAATTGTATTCTATATATGATTTTCTATTCTGCGTATATGTTAGTTAGAGAAAAAAAAATGAAGCAGAATAAATGAAAATTAAAAAAAAACCTAATAGAAGAACATATTTTTAATAATATATTATTATATCGATTGTTTAATGGTAAATAACTACTATAGTAAATTCTTTTAATCTTCGTTTCTGTTGGATATGTTATCTGTTTAAGATATATTTAATGTGACTTAGAGATTAAAATTTATTAATATAGACTAAGACTCATTTGCTTACTGACGATTTTGTTATTTTATCCTCATTTGTTCTTCAACATCTCCTTTTCTTATATTATAGACTGTTTCATCTAAACTACAGTACACGACTACTCGACATCGTCTATAACGACATCGCCGTTTCAGAGACTAAATCTGTTCTTTCTGTCTTTCTTCTTCGTCTTTGTCGTTGTCGTCGTCGTCTTCTTCTAATTCTTCTTCTCTTCTTTTCCTGCCCGATGCCCGGGCGCACGCAAGAAGGCTTGTGTTCGCAAGCTCGCCCGATAATTGATCATTTGTTTTTTGACATTCACTTGGCTCTTCGTTCTGAATGCAGGCGTTGAATTGTGTGCGGTTGTAGTAGGTCGTGCAGGTCTCGAGCTATGCTTGTACGTCAAAGTAATCAATATGAGAATTTGCATTTTCTCGTTCTCTGTCTCTGCTTGATAATCATGTTGCGTTATTGGTCTAAATTGCATGCTAATAATAGAACTCATTATGCTATACAGATAGCACATGTTTTCTTCTCTTGACCATCTTTCTATCTTATAGTTTTGTCTCATCGATTTGATTGTTTTTATTGATTTGAATACGAAAGAGTTATTCTTATTATATCGATGAATTTCGACGGATTGAAAAGACAAATCCGTTAATATTTATGGAACATCTGTTAGATGTAAAACACATCAAATCATCATAGATGAATAGGTATAATATTTAAAGAAATACTTGTAAATAATACAATATACTTAACAAAATTACTTTAAATATTGGATAAATAAATGAAAAAAAAAAAAAAACTAAGTAAACAAAAGTTGGTAATAATGAAGCGGAGAGAAATAAATAACTATGAGAAAAGTCTGATGAAATCTAAGACAGTGATTGAAGATGTAGATGTCTACAGGCACATTAAATAATAATGAACTATCATATATCGTTTTTCTTATCTATTTGTTTGACTGCAAACATACTATTATTATTATATACATATAGTATAGTCAAACTTACCATAAGTGATAAATGTCCATTTTAATACTATAATACTTGTTTATACAAAAGAAAAAAATCGAGAACTTATAAATATACATCTAATGTGTTATTATTTTTCTTTCATTTATTTCAAACCCATCTCGTTTTCTTTGCTTGATTTTTCACACTAGCTTATTTCTGTTCTTTCTTCTTCTTCTGTTTCTTTCTTTTTCCTCCTTCATGCTTTTGCTGAAATAGAAACGAATGAATACACAGGAAGAAGTATCGTTTTATATTTTTTTTACGCACACATTCAGACATAAGCACTCTATCTATTTTTATTGTTCTATTACACACTCTACTACCTAAAATTATTGACAAGCGTATAGTTAGTCGCGCGTGCGCGCCTGCCTTTAGACAAGAGAAGAGGGAAAAGAAAATCGAAGGGCAAATTTTTCGCACTCTCTCGTGCGTATGCACTAAATCTCACCGGAATTCTTCAGCGAGAACGTACGGTCTTTTTCTTTCGAAGACGAGTCGAGTCAACACATTACTAGATATACAACATAAATGTAGATTTCATGTTCGCCTCGACAAAGAACTTGGTCTCTAGCAAACAAACAAGCAAGAACACTAGAAGCATATCTTTTCCCATTACTATTCCTCATTTTCTTCTGCTTCTGCTTCGTCTTTTCCTTCTTGTTCTGGTTTTTTTTTTCTTTTGCTTTCTTTATTTTTTTTTCTCTGTTATGAGCGTACGAATGCTTCGGTCAGAAGCGACGGTAGTACTTTACTTCTGTTCTTGCTCTTCGACGACAATGACGATAGTAGAAACATCGGTTTTTTTTCTGTCGCGTTCATTCCCGCTTCTTCTCATATTTTGAACAGCATTAATAACCTCGCTAGTCTTTAGGGTCTCCATATTCTCCTCCTCTTTCTCTTCTTGTCTTTTTCGACAACTAAGCGCAAATGCATGCGGTGTTAGTATAGCCCATATGATGATGATGATGAGCACTCATCGTTGTTGTTACAAAAGACGATGTGAATACACATAGGCACAAGAGACAACTAGCGGAAAAAAGAAACGAGAATGACAGTTCGTATCGTTGATAAACGATTGCTCATTCACTATCATGTTAATAATGCTCGACACATAACAATGGCGTTCAACACTTTCTTTTTTTCTTTTTTTTTGTCGCAAAATGTCATTCTTTTAGACATCATATATATAGATATATATATGTATTTGGTACTGTCAAGTAGAAGTGAAATAAAAATAAAAACAAGTTTATATCCATATTCATATACAAATCTTTGCTGACATATCTCTGTTGCTATCTATACATATGTATCTTATTGTAAGCTCAGTGACAGATATAAAAAAAAACTGATAAAAAAAAACGAGCTGTTCTAAATGCGTACATATGTTTGTGTTTGCCTTAGTAATCGGTCTTATGATGCATATTGTATAGATATATTGAGAACTTCAGATGATAACGATGTGTGTCAATAAAGACATATTTGTTGCTGGTCTAGTCTAATACACAGATGTTATCTTTTCTTTAACAGTATGCCTGTGTATGTTTTCATGATAAACAAGTAATACATAAAATATGGTGGAAATGCTCAACAAATCTTCTGTCATCATTTCATTGTCATCGCTTGAGAAAGAAAGAAGATGGATGTGTGTCTATTGATTTAATTCGGTTTTTTATCTACATTTGTTTATGATGATATCGATTGGTTACTATGAGTGCAAATGTATATAGATGAATAGAAGCGTTAAAAAAGAAAATTATACTATTAATATGAATATATTCTTCTCTTTATTCGAAGAATTTATTCGTAGTTCCGGCAGATAAGCATACCTAAGTATCCACTTGATATTTATCTTTTTTGTTTTATTCTTGTCGACAATTCAAAAAAAAAAATCCTTCTTCAAGAGACAGAAAAAACAGAAACTCATTAGATTTAATTTATTTATATCAGTGACAACAACAATATTTTTTTTTCCTTTTCTTCACTCTCTATTGAAATCCATTTTCCTATGCCTCCGACCGATTTCTTTTTATACTTGTTATAATAATAGCATTATATTGATCCATGTTAATTTTTTTTCTCTCCTATATATAAAATAAATGACTCTCATGATATTTGCAAATGTTGACATGATTTAAATATAGATGTGCTTAATATAAATATGATGTAAAAAATGATTATTTAATCTTTTTTTCTCAATTATGTTATTTGTTTTTCATTTATAACAAAAAGAAAGAAATGTAAACAAATTACATCCATGGAAAAACACTATAAGTAGAATTATTTCCTTGAAATGATTGTTGTGTTGGTCGTACACTTGAATTATTATTGCCAGAATATGCCGTGCTTGAGAATGAAAATGAAGAAGAAACAGCTGTATTATTATTATTGTTGTTTTGTCTAGGTGATTGTTGTTGTTGTTGTGATGTTGTTGATCGATATTGAAAAGAAGTTGAATTAGAAGTATTTTGAAACCAATTAGGTAAACTTGGTGGAGGTCGATTATTAGTACCATGATGAAATCCTCGACTACGACCCCGACCTCGACCACGTTCGAAATTCGAATAATTTGAAGAAATACTAAAAAAGAACAAATTAATTAATCAACTTAGTTTTAATTTGAAAAAAAAGAGGCTTCATATACCTAGCAGCATCATTATTTCTAATATCGGTCATTTGTTCATCAGTATTTTCTTCTATATGTCTTTTTCCTCGTTGTAATGCTTTAGCTGCACGTTCTTGTTCATCATCACTATAATCAATAGCGAATTTTGGTGGTTCATTATCATCTTCCCATGATGCATCTGAACCTTTTAATGCTCTTAATTCTTGTACAAAGACATATTTGGTATATGTTGTTTCTTTTGGTGCATAAAAAACTTCTTGATTTACTTCTATTTGACGTTGATGAATACTATTAATATCATTGTAACGAATAGAATAATATGGCTTTTCAACTGGTCCAAATGTTTCAAATATAAGTCCAATTGAACGACGATCACGATTAAAAAGAACAGTATCATCATTAAGTGGTGGTGAATGAAGTAATGATTCAATAATTACCAGTTTTCCATCAACAATATGACGAACATATCCAAGTTTTTCAATAGGCGTTTCATCACTAAGTGTAATTGTTAGATTTTCAATTGGTGGAAGTTCATCAATAACAACTTCATTACGTGTACGTGGACCATGACAATTACGAAGTGCTTTTTGTTCATCATCATCATCTGAATCTTCATTGAGAAGTGTACTAAAGAAAAAAAGAAGAAATATGATTTAAATCAAAAAGAAAAATAATTGATAGATTTTACTTGTTCTCTTCAGATAGAAACGAATCATCGGATGATGATGTACTATCATCTTCAGAACTTGAAAAAATTCGACGTTGTTTTTTTTTTCTTGTAATAGATTGATTTTTTATTTTTCTAAACTTTTTATGATGACGTGGCTCAAGTTTAATTGATATATTTTCACAAAGTGTATTCATAAGATGAATTTGATCGATGAGATCTTCAAGTAGGTCTTTAACATCATAATCAACTTAAAATGAATATAAGAAATTATATATTTTATTTCAAAGTCTAAATAAATTTTATTTTTAAATGTCATCTGTAACGTAATTCATATCTTTATTGTCATAGAAATCAGCAATGAATACTTTCTATTATCTTTTTATTGTTTCTCCATCATTATTCACTAAAGATGAAATTTAGTTAAGCATATAATGTAAAAAACATATGAATAACTCGAATAAAATCTCTATTAATAACGCATTAATCTTAATAAACCTTACATTAATGCATATTTATCTTTAATATAAATGATAATAAGAGTCTAAATAATACGCAGACATACAGATGTTGACGATTAAGGAAAGCAATGTTTACATGGTTATATTGCATAGATATAGACAAAAAAAAATCGATTTTATATAGCTATCTCATGTCTTATTAGACAAGTCTTTGTTCCTATCATATTTCACTACATATCTACCAACGTTTCATTGTTTAAAGCACATATGAAAGAACTGGACCATATTTTCTAATTAAATAATTTACCTGAATAGTTCAAATGTAAATTTGCCATAATGCGTCTAAATCAAGATTGATCTAAAGAAAAATTTGTTTGATTTATCAATAATCAATTATTTATCTAGTACATTTGATTTATTTCTGGAATAATAAAAATCAAAAATTGAAATTTATATGAAAAATTAGAGAAAAAAATCTTAATTATAAACATAATAATATCACTGTTCGGTTGATTTTTGTTTTTACAAAAAGAAAAATATCAAAAATTGATTTAGTTTAGTTATCATCATCATCATCATCATGTCGTCTAGCCGAAAAAGGACCCGTATTTAATGCATTAGTTGGCTGATCGTCTTCATCATATCGTCTAGCTGAAAAATGGCCTGTATTTGATGTATTAGCCGGTTGATTTTCTTCGTCATATCGTCTAGCTGAAAAGCGGCCAGTATTTGATGTATTAGCCGGTTGGACATCTTCATCATATCGTCTAGCCGAAAAATGACCTGTATTTGATGTATTAGCCGGTTGATTTTCTTCGTCATATCGTCTAGCTGAAAAGCGATCTGTATTTGATGCACTAACCGGTTGAACATCTTCATCATATCGTCTAGCTAAAAAGCGGCCAGTATTTGATGTATTAGCCGGTTGGACATCTTCATCATATCGTCTAGCCGAAAAATGACCCGTAGTTGATGTATTAGCAGGTTGGATATCTTCATCATATCGTCTAGCTGAAAAACGACCAGTATTTGATGTACTAACCGGCTGATCGTTATCATCATATCGTCTTGCTGCTGAACGACCAGTATTTAAGGTACTGACCGATGAAATATCCTCGTCATCAGTATTTCGTTTAAACGCAGCATGGCGAATTCCTGATGTGCTAGCTGGTCGATCATCTTCATCATTTCGTCTTGATACTGAACGACCAGTATCCAAGATACTCATAGGCGGAATATCGTCGTCATTAGCATTTCGTTTAAATGCAGCACGACGCGTGCCTAATTCACTAGCTGGTTGTTCGTCATCGTCATTTCGTCTAGCAGCAGAACGTCGGGTACCTGATGCAACGTGTGGTTGATCATTCTTTTCATATTGCCTAGCTGTAACACGATTGGTACTTGACGCGATAGCAGGTGGATTATCATTACGCGTGGGACTTGTTTCACGCATATAATCTGATGATATATTTTTATATCGATAGAGATCTTCTGAATGCTGATCAGAAAAATGGCTAAGATTTGATGTTGCAAAACCATAACTTCGTTTCGAAGCCCTTGTTGATGAAGGAACAACAGCTTTACGTTCAGATGCATCTTCTTTACTAGAGCCTGTGAAAAAACGTGATACTCGTTCACCTATAGTAGTAAATATAGAACCACCTGAATTTGATGGTGGTGGTGGTGCCGCTGATGCCATTGGCGTATGTCTTACTGAGTCAGCCTTACGAGATCTTGATGTAATAACATGAGATTGTAATTCACTACTTGCTGCATTCCAACGTCTATAAGAGAAAAATATCAACTAAATATAAATTTTTATATATTTTAAACCTTTCATTAAATTGATCCGTTTCATAAGTTCCACGAGAGCGTACTTTTGCATTAAGATTGTCCATATAAGCTACACGCTGTTTTTGTACAACTGGTGTTGACCATTTTGAACGTGTATGTTGTGTCTCATATTCCTCTTCATCAGATATTGCTGCCCTATAAAAGGAAAAACAACAAATTTTTCATTTGAAAATATTAAATGAATCTTTTTATTTTTATTTACATCATATCATTTGCTGTACTTCGAATATGATTTTCTGCAATAATACTTCGAATAGCATTAACTTCAGCTACCTCACGATCTCCTGTAGTTTGTTTTAATTGTGTTAATACACGTAATGCTTTATTACCATCAGCGCCTGTATAAGTAACTTGTACTTGAAATGGTAATTGTTCTAATTGATCCAAATCAATATGATATTTTTCTTTTACTTCTAAATTTCAGATAAAACAAAATTATATTATTTTAATAATTCTATTATTAATATCAAGAAAAAGAAAAACAACAAACCTTCTTTATTTCTAACACCAAATTCAAATGTAACTTCAGTTTGTTTTGTTACATTTCCAATATCACGTTTTATTTTGTCAAGTTTATCCTCTAAATTATCAGGATTACGAATATATAAACCACGATGAACAATTAATGTTGCTTCAACATTTGTTGCAATAATTTTTTGTTCAAGTATTGATGCAAATTCATCACGCATATTTAATAAATCAACAATTGTTACATTACCACCAGTACCATCAGCCTATTCATTAGAAGAAAAGAAAGAAACTTTTTGACAAAAAGAAAAAAAAAACATAATCCAAAATTTCTTCTACCATTTGACCGATCACAGGAAGTAAACAAGCAGTGCCTGAATAAACAAATAGTATGATTAGAAAAAAACACATCTTCAAATAGATATTTTACCTTTGATAGTAATAACGGATATACTAACACCTTTTTCTCTAGCACGTTCAGTTACTTAGAAATAAAGAGTATATTTATAAATCAAAAAAATTATTAAAAAAAGAAACTAAATAAAACTTACATTCAGAATAAAATTGATTTCCTTCTTCAAGAGCTTGCTTTCTAATAGTCTCATCAACTTTTTCATCTTGAGCCATTTCTAAACTACCTAATCCTCGATTAGCTAAGCCTGAAAGAAAAAACAACAACAAGTATTTTTTTTATAATTTTCAATAGGAAGTAAAAATCTAGATTTCGATTTGCTTTCTTACCATCAGTACAAATGACTATTTTTGAACCTTGCCGTTTCGATGCAATATGCAGAGCAAAATCAACAGCGGGACCAAGCGCTGTTTGACCACCTTCCTCAAGATCATAAACACGTTCAGTTAATGCTGTTTTTGTTTCTGCAACAGATTTTAATTCATTATTCAATGCTTTTTCAGCCTCATGTAATAAATCATTTGCATTATTTAATTTATCACCACGTATAATTAATGGTTCATCTCTTGTACCATCACCTAAAGATTAATTTCAATTAAAAAATAAAATCATTCTAAACTAATTACAATACCAAAATATGTTATTTCATGATTGAATGTAAGTAATGCTGCACGTCTTGTTGGTGTATCTTTAACAAGTTTATCTAAATTAGCATCAACAGCCATTTGTACACCCTGTAAACGTGATACATATGTTTCATGATGCTGTCGTATCATATGTACACCACCAAATGCTTCAGCAGCACGTTGTTGTTGTTTAGATGCATTCGGTAAATTAACTGTACCTTGAATTAATGTTGTTGATGACATTGAACCACTGATGTCAATTAAAAATAAAACTATAGAATTATCAACACCAGTCATATCTGAACCATGAACAACGGGTGCTGGAGAAAGTAAATATGTTGCATCTTCTTTTTTAGGTAAATCTGTTTGTTCAATATCAACTATGTTTGTACTTGAACAAAATTCACAATGCCATTTAGACTCGGATTCATTTGATCGATCATCACTAGTAGGTTCGTGTGTTTCAACTTGAATTTTACTTAAATGAGAAGCTATTGCACCACAATCTTTACAGTGCACAGGATCACCAGCATGCATTTCACCTAAACAAATAATGTGATCATTTCTATTTTGGTTATATTTTATTATTACCTGGTTGAAGCAATCTATTGAATTTAACACTAAGAACATTTGTATCAGGCTTACGTAAACGTTTTCGTCTATGAGATGCTAATGCAGAGCTACCTGTAGCAGCTACAATTTGTTGCTCATGTTGTTTTTCTCCTTCACTGAAAATTAATGTTCAATAAATTTTATTTTAAAATTACTATAATTATTCTTTACCTAGCTTTTGCTTTTGGTATAAACAATGGGTCAGCATCATTACCGAGTGTACCATCATCGTCATCAGATACGGATTCTGATTCTGAACGATCATATTTGTAAATGTATTTGGATCCAAAATCCATAATTATAAATCAAGATCTAAAAGAAAGTACGAAATATGTTTTTTTTTTCTTAAGTCTTTGCGCTGAAAGAAAAACAGTAAAAACTTTGTTTCAATCATACGATACTTGCAGATAAACAACTGCGATAAAGAAAAAAGAAACAACCGCGCAGAGAAATCACGTTTTTTTTTCTTCCGAGGCAATGTTTAAAAAGGTAATACATCTCGTTAGAAAAAAAAATTGTGCCATTTGCTTCCTTATTCTTCTTAGCAACCAAACGTGCAATGTTTAGAGGGACGTACAGTCATTATGAAATCGTTCAAAAATAACAGAATGAAATTCTAAGCAAAAAAAACAATAAACTTATGGTTAAACTATGTATTAATAAAAAGTTTTTCGTAGAAATTTTCTTCGACTTGATCAATAAATATGAAGCAACAAACACTAATAGTGCACGTCTCCGTTTGAAAATAATGGTTTATAACGCGTCAATCTTAATGTCAATTATTCATGTTAATCATAGCAAACAATATCTTTACACATGTTGTTATTTTACTTAGTGGCGGAAGCATTATTTGAACTCAGCGTGGGCTCATGATGAATTGAGCCTACTCTAATCCACCCTCTGAGCTCCTCTACTGATTTTATTCCAATGAAATATTTTCTTGTCGGTAATGTTTATCACTCTGATTGATTATGCTGGTAGCAATTCTGTTAGTGGACACAAGTAATCATATAATTTGTATGACATTTCTTTCAATTATAAGTGCTTGACTAATTCTTTGTTTCTCAAAATAATTTCAATCACATTTTCTTCCGTATGAAAATTACGATGGAAAATAAGACGAGCTAGTTCTATAATCAGAATTTAGTAAAATATAATATATTTATTATAATTTATCATTAATTCGAATTTATAGAAAATTTCTCAAAATTGCTTAAAAGTTTGTATACCTAATGAGGAAATCTCTATCACATAGCTTTTCGATCAAGACAATGTTTATTTTATGAGTAATAGAAAAGTTCAGAATGATTTGCTTTTTCGCATCTTCATTCTTGAAATATTGAAATCATACTGAGTTTTTTAA